GATGTCATCTCCCGCATTCCGACCTCATGCGGTTTGTTGACACTCACGGCGGAACCCTCACTCTTCACTGTTTACTAATAGTTCGGTCGTACCTTCCTTCCTCACTGCTCATCTGAGCTCGAAGCGTGCTGTGGCCGATCGCATCTGGGTTCCTCTCGTCTGGCCTCTTTGACGCGAATAGTCTCATGCGACGTATCAATCCGGCCCAGACGATCTCAGTTGTGTATCCCGTTTACAATGCCACACGCAAACCAGTCCTGTCTGACCCGCATACGTACCCCTCAAGGCTGACATTTTTTGCTACTCTGTCGATGACCGACAACAATCCGTTATATACCGCCACCTACAGGCCAGTCCTGCTCGCTTTTTGCCGTCATTATTTTTATTTGAGGGGTTTTTTCTCCTGTAAAATTAATTCAATCATTTTTAACTTTTTGTATGGAGTTTTTTTCTTCACCCCTCACTAATCAAGTTTCTCAATGGACTACTAATTCAGAAACTATGAATTGCATTTTGCAAAGATTCTGCCTACCTCGTCTAAAACTCGCATGTAAATTTATTTTAGCTTGCTTTGATGGGACCCCGACGGATCTTTAATAAAAAAATTATCTATTATCTATCTTCGGATAATCTGCACCCTTTTAAAAGAAGGCTGCGCGTCTATATGAATACTGACTCGATTGGACTTTTCTTTTCCGCATTATTCTAGGACAACGCCCTCCATTACATTGAGAAAGGACCGTCGGAAATATAGGGCGTCATCGCCGAACTACCGCATCCGCCCAAATTTCAATTTTTCAGTCCACGCATCGTGCCCTCACAGAATGCAATATCCTCCCTAGCAAATGCTCTCAAGGAATTGGTGGGACTAGGTTGACGTGCACGCTCTAGGCCGCCTCAGTTTCGCTAATCGCTGGCCCTCATCAGGAAATCACTCTGGCCCCTGCGATTTCCAACTCCTACCCCCAATCGATGATTTTCGCAGCTCCTGATATCATCTCCTCATTCCGACCCCAAGCAGTCTCTTGATGATCACGGTGGGATCCTCTGTTTTCGTCATTTGTTAGTAGTTTGTCCTGTCGGCGAAGGGGTCTCAGGGTCACATTCCCCCCCCCCCCTTAAGGCATTAATGACCGTCCTAGCCTTTAATATCCTCTCCTCGGTTGGACTCTAAGCTGACTGTGGCCGATCGCATCTAGGTTCCTCTTGTCTCGCCACTTCGAGGCGGGTAGCCTCATGCAGTCAAAGAATTCTGCCGTGACGATTTCTGTTTTGAATCCCTTATAAAATACCATATACAGATCAGTCCTGTTCGACCCGCATATCTACTCTTTTAAGAGCGGCTGTTTTCTTCTCTTTAAAGACTAACTAATTCATATGCATTTGTCGTTAAGAAGATGAACACACGATCTCTGGGACAGTAGGTTCATTAGACTGAGCTTTCGGTCTCGCACAGGAGGCCATCGTCAGAGACTGTAAGAATACGGCAGCAAATGAGCAGGTTTTGCATTCAAGCCATGAAGGGGGGTAGGAGTGCAGGGGGTGGTATTCGCGATAAGCTGAGACCCACGCCGTCTCACGACGGCGTGACTGCGTGCATTTTTGGCTGGGAATTGGGTCTCGCCTCTTGGCTGCGGGAACGGAGCGCGTGATAGCAGGGGGAGGGGGGGGTATGTCAACGTGTCTGTTGATAGAGTTGGTGTCAGACACCCAGGCCTCCAAGAGTTCTCGCCCAGTCTTATTGCCGGCCCGCGCTACTATCCGCGTGCTCGCGAAGTTGAATTCGTGGCCTTCCTCCAGGGTGTGGGTGACGACCTGAGACAACGGGTCGCCTCTCCGGACCACCCGTTTGTGCTCCGTTATTCGTGAGCTAAGTCGTCCTCCAGTCTGTTCTGTGTAGTGGCGAGGCCAGTCCCGACATGGGATCTGATAGACGACACCCGATTGTTCTCCCACGTCTAGGCGATCCTTCACTCGCATGATTTTGTTGCGCATGGTCGCTGTCGGACGGTGAGCGATACCCACGCCTAGCTCTCCGGCGATACGTTCCATCTCTTCAGACACATTGTTCACGTATGGTATAGGGTGCCAGGTTGTTGGCGGCTCTCCTCCATTTGTTCACCGTGGATGCCTGCGGAGGCAGCGGCTGACGAAGCTATTCGGACATCCATTTCTTGCCATTTGGTTCCGAAGATGTCATAGTTCTCGTACTCGTCCCTCTGGCTCGCTGCAGTGTGTTTTTGCTTTTTCGAAGAGTGTCCCAACACAGCTGCGCGGTTACTATGGTAGTCGTGTTAGTCGCCTTTCTGTACACCGTGATGCTGAGTTAGCCATTGGGTATGCGTGTGACGAGAACGCCAAGGAAAGGCAGCTGTTCGGCATGCTCTTCTTCATTTGTATTTTTTAAAGGGAGTTTTTTCCTGCTCGCTGACAGCTTTTAGCATTTGACTGATTATTCGATAACCGTGAGCTGGATACTGTGCAGAATCTGTCTACTTGTTCTGAAATTTATTTTAACGTCTATTTTTACCTCCTACGAAACCACCCTCAAGTGTACTCGATAAAACAAGTTCATTTATTTAAATCTGCTAGCTCGCAGAGAACAGATGTTTAGATGCAGACAGCGAGCGGAGGGATGACAACTGAAAAATTACGGGTGATATAAGACCGACCCACAGGATTACGGACGTCACTATATGAAACCTTAGGACAAGCGTTAATGCGAAATAAGAAGTAAAAACTAGCTTTGAACAATTTGACCCATACTAATTTAATTTTTGCCGATTTGCATCCCTCAGTAAAATGAATGCTAGATCCGTCATGTGATAAGTCTTGTAGGTATAATTCCCCCGAACATTTTCGGCTTTCTTAAGGTCCCGGACATTCACTAGATCAAAGAATGTACAGCTGCATTCGAGGAGGAGAAGGATAAGCATATGTTAACATTCTAATTCTACTTCGGAAGGAGGATGTTATGTGGCACGAAACCACATATAATATTGATCGATGTAATATCCAAAAAACATAAACAGTAAATGTCTGTGTGGGCGGCCAAATTCACTTTTAAAAATGTGCTCTGTTAAGAGGAAAAATATTTTACGTCCGCCAGCGATTTTCCCCTTTGCATGCGACACTTTAGACAACAGTGCTAGGCTCAAATTTTAAAACTGGAAGTTTTTTTGGAAAAATGGTGGGCTCGAACTAAGTAGAAAGAACAGTGAGGGCAGAGTTCAGGGAACTCTCAGTTTTCCAAAAAACATCAACAGAAAAATACTACTTCGCGAAATGATAAGGGGAGGGGGGGCAGAGTATGCTGTTGATATTTACGATGCCAACAGTGGAGCAGTTAGTAATAATTAGTGTAAAGAAGTTTTTGGCTATAAGAGGTAGATTCGTCGCGGTAACACTGTGATGAATCTCGATGTCGTGTGTGCACATATGGCCGGATAGGACAATGGGATGACTGAATGTCCAGGGGGGAGTGTGCAGATAGGACGGGAGGTACGATTTTATGTCGTGGCTCTTCGCACCAACTCGACGGTCACAGTGCGGTGGATAAGCAACCGACGCACCTGGCCGATGCGTTGTCGCATTGGAGACAGGAAGGAACGCGGCCAACACTGCCAGTGTGAAGGGCAACGCCGTGATGTTTTGTAGAATGATAGGTGTGCCTTCACTACTCATGCTACAGTTTGTGTCTTGTGAAGTGAGAGACGGGTTGGTTATGACGAGTTTGGACCTTGTCCAGTAAGTTCCAACCCTGCCCGGAATTTTCGGTAACAGTGTAAATACGATAGTGGGGATGAAATAATTGTGCTTGTCATCCGTAAAATATGGATCTTTAATGTCTCTATTTTTACTTTAGAAGTGGCATTTCGGTTGTTTTTGCAGATGTTTGATCCATTTTGCACGACATTGAGTCAAGTCCATAAATTCCAGGCGAGGTCTTACCACGTCACAGGTGTTTCAGGGACGTGTTCAGGGTGTCCTTGTAGCGATACTTTCGTCCGCCTTACTTGCCAGCACTCGCAGCGATGTCGTCATATAACGGCTGCTCGGGCAGGAGCTAGTCGTCCATCCTCAGAACGCAGCCATTTCACTGCAGTTGGGCCTGCATAAATGCGCCGTAGACACCGAAAACGCTGATTCATTTCAGGGTCTTTGTGTCAGGGATCCCTTTCTGCCACTTTATCTTCGGTATTTTCGGCAAATAACTCAAGTCAAATGGTTGAATTTACCTGCTCGCTTTTTTGGGCCGTACACGTGTCTGCCCCATTTATGAACTTTCCTAGGATGTAAGCTCCATACGTCTTCACTTTTGCGTTCAGGTAGGGGAGGCGGCGACCTCAAACTGGCAACTGCAGTCGGCTGCGGGCGCGGCTGGTTATGAAAACCGGACTTGCACTCTCGTTGTTGATCTCGATGACTCTTGAAACTGTACTTCCCATATAGGCGAATTTACCCACAGATGTGAGGCCAGTCCTCTTCACACTGGACCTAACCGCTCTGCATTCGTTGGGTTGTGCCTACTGACACATAACCGTCGTTTTCTTCTGTGCGGACAGCCAGTCTGAAATCGAAGCAATTGGCGGAAAAGCGATTCACGCTGCCGCACGACCTCACTCGTAGTAATCTCTAGCGCTAAATCATCCACGAATAATAGATCGTGAACATTGGTCTTAAAGGTCCCAAAAATGCTTATCTTTGGTAGATTTCGAGCAGTTCCCCGTCGGTTCTTAAGTCGATTCCAATTCCCGCCACGCTTAACACGTTGAGCTGCCTTCAGCGTAGCGGAGAACCTTTGACCGAATAGGGTAGAAGCGAGTACGCAAACCTGGTTTTCTCACCTTTTTCACTGCGAATTCTTTCGAGACCGCTCCCTTTACCGTAACTCATACCATCATCCAATCGTTAATTTGTAAGGCCATTTGTATGAATGGCTTCGGGCGTACTAGTTTCGACGTGGTTCTCCGGATCTCACAGCAATTCCCTATGTCGGTGGCCTTTATCAGCTACGGAAAGGCGGCTAATGGCTGCATCGTAGCCCCTGGGGCTTTCCTGTCATTTGGCGGACAACGGTGACCATTTAGCTAGTTCCGCTGTTCCTTCTAAATTTACATCAACTTTCAGGTAGAAGGGCGGATGCGTGTTTGCACAGTTCAGTAGAATTCGAGTGAAAATTTCTCTTGTAATATGGGAGGCAGGTGCCTCTGTATGTAGCGCAGGGTTGCCGGCTTAACTTGCATCCGTATTTGTGTACAATAATGGCATCCCCGAAGCCTTGGGTGATGTGTTCTGGTAGCCAAATCTCTTGGGATAGCAAGAGAAACTCTTTTACCAGATGTCGGCCGCCGTACTTGTAGACTTCCGCTCTCTCGGTGCTTTTCCATCGGTTGGCCGTTACACAGCTCCGATTGTCTTAAGGAGAGTAGGTAGAAGACTGAGAAAATTGTTGGTGTCCAATTGAAAAAACCAATCGATGGCTTCTTCAAAGATTGTCGACCGGTGGATGAGGACGTCCTAGAAGTACGCGGCACAGCACTCCAAGATCTGAGGCACAAACGCTTAGCTTGATAACCGTAGACTACATTGATCAGATCAGATCAGATCTATTAAGGGAAAGGTAGACGAGCGCCTTTGAACTCCCTTTTGGTTACAATAACGTCATAAAAAAACAATGTGTAAGGTAAGTGTCAAAGAAAATTAGGTAAGTAATTACATACAACAAGCATTGGTCACTGGTATAAATTTGTCTGTGAATGCCTTCTATGCCAAAATTGTATAATAACCAGTACGGTACTGAATGGACCAAGTAATATCGAGGCAAGCGCATACACTGCGGTCAGGAGATAGCTAAAATGGTAAAACGTAATGTTACTAAAATATAGGTAGCAGCATGCTTTGTAGCATAAAACGTGCGGTGGGGCGGGCGGTACAGGGGGAAAATTTGTTAGTTTTTGATGCTGTGGAGGTACATATCCCTGTACTGGTCAAGCTTTCTCTTAAATGAGTCCACGGATGAGGACATGACGACGTCCACAGGCAGGGCATTCCATGCCTTTACCACTCTGTGGCTGAATAAGGACCTCCTTGCGTCCAGTCTCGCCCTTGTCACACGTAGTTTCAGAGGGTGTCCTCTCAAGCTAGTAGTGGTGGCCAGCTCAAAGAAGTCGTCGGATGCGAGGCAGCAGTCCTGACCCCGTAGCATTCTAAACGTTTGAATTAAGTCGCCAGGTAGTTATCTGTAGTCCAGGGGAAAGAGGTTAAGATTTGACAGTCTAGTTTCGTAAGGTAGGTTTTTATGACCTCTGACAAGCTTGGTTGCCCGTCGTTGAACTTTTTCGAGGGTGGTGCGATCTTTGGCTGTCCAGAGTCCCCGGGCCTGAATGGCAAATTCTAAATGTGGGCGCACAAACATCCCGAAGACCTTGCGAAAGCACTCTTCGTCGAACTTCGCAAATGCCCGCTTGATGAGATATAAGCTGGACATTGCGGATTCCGCTGCTTTCAAGCAGTGGAATGATGGCTTTAGCGAAGATGTTATCCACACACCTAGATCTTTCTGAACCTCTACCAGTGGCAGCGGTGTGTGATTTAGATAGTACGTCTGCCGGTGCGCAGAGCTGGGTCTGCCAATCCTCAGAATGTTGCATTTGGCAACGTTAAATGGGAGGAGCCAGTGGCCTGACCATTGTTCGAGTCGGTCTAAGTTTGCCTGTAGATTTGCTTCATCGTCCTCGTTGCGGATGACGGTCCAAAGCTTTATATCGTCAGCAAACATGGCAATTTTGCAGTCCAACTCATGGATACAGTCATCAATATAGATGAGGAAGAGGATAGGGCCAAGAACGGAGCCCTGAGGTACCCCGCTCGTAACCGTCACCTCTGCCGATTGCTGGCCGCCAAGACGGACAGTCTGGGACCGACCGATCAAAAAGTTTTCAATCCACTTCAAAGGCTTGCCTCTAACCCCTATGCGGCTGAGCTTGTATAGGAGACGTTGGTGTGGCACGCTGTCAAAGGCCTTCTTGAAGTCTGTGTAGGCCACATGC